GAATACCGGAAGTTTCCTGTGCTCTTGATAACGCTTTACACAATCCAATCCATACGGCAACCAATCCGGCAAAGCAAAGTTCACTGCTTCATTGAAATTCAGCTGTCAAACAAATCAAAGCAAAGTTAGACCAAAGTCAAATCACAAATCCAACAACAATGCAAATTAAACCATCACTCACTCCGTGATTAAATCCAGCGTGGTAAGCTTTTGGGAAAGTGATAACGAATTCTCCTGCGCGTTGATTACAGGCATAGACATCCACACCTGCGTCTTTAAGCCGTTTCGGATTCATTAGGGTGACAAGTTGGAACAGAAGGTCTGGTTGGGCCTCGAAAAGGTCCGGTGCTTCTCTCCGTATAGCTGATTCGAATTTCTCGGCATCATCCCCAGGAATGCTATACCACGTCTTGGTTTCACCCCAGTGCACTAGAAATATTGATGGTTAGAAAAGTATTAAAGAGGGACAATAGATCGCATACTATAGTTGATGCTATACGTATAATGATCCTATTGAGACAGGGATGTGTAAGCTGGATAGCAGTCAACTCAGCCGCTATATTAATTCGTACCTCGTTATGCCAACAGAAGGTCGAGAAGATCATGCCAACGTAGGTCCAAGGTACAGTCATGCCAGAAATATCACTTTTGATAAACCGCAGAAGGGATTCCGGAAGAATCGGTATATTGTTGAGATTCCACAGATCCTTTGAGTAAGGATTCAGTGGATGTGTTTCCAAGGTAGGCATGCCACTGGAAGTGAGAAATTATAGTGATCTGAGCAAACAGCATATCCTAAAGCCAGAAACATATACACACCTGCCATGAGTGGTAGAGTGCACATCAGCTCCATATTCAACTTCAACAGTCTCATTTGGACTCTGCACAAGTCTCCAAAATTCGTTTTCCACGTCAGTTTCAGTGACAACGATATCACCATAACGGTTAACAGCAGGATCGGGCCCGTTACCGTCAGGTTTAGAATAATGCGTGTCGTCCTGAGGAGGACGGTGGGTCTTGAACCAGTATTTGCGGAATTCCAGATCACGAGCTTGGAAGCTTGATAAGCTATGCTCCTCTCCTTCATCAAAACCAAAGTCGCCGCCTGTTCCGAAAAGGCAGATATGGCAGTACCATTCTCCTTTGGGGATTGTGGTCAAAGGAGGGTCGAGACAAAACATGTGGAATCCTGGTGCATCACTATGAGAAATGAAGAAGGCATGGAAAGTGGGGCTCAAGACACGCACCACAGTCGCACCCGTCACACAGCAGCATTTGCTCGCCACGGTCCTTCTTCTGACAGACTTCACAATGAGGCTGAAAGGAACCCATTCAGTATCGGGAACAATAAGTCGATGTGATTCAATGGTAATTCACACGCACTTCGGGAGTATTCTGTCCATCTTTTGACTCTGACGAACCGTTCAAACGAGCGTCAACGCCGTTTAATAGTCTGCGCGCTGTGATTTTTAGATAGGGGCCATCGACAGTCAAAAGCAGAGAAAAAAAATCAAATATGAAGGATGTTCTTACGAAGCTGGTGTTCCTGGGAAGTCTGTCTCGTGCTTCTCCTCAGTTTTAAGTCTTTGTAGTCGCCTTCATCTGGAGGCTCAGATAAAGGACTCGATGTAACGGTCAAAGGGCTCGATGGTGGACTGATATCTGCGGCTGTAGAACCCCCGTTAGCGGAAGTGGAGGCTTTCCCAGATGACTGCAGATTGGAATGTGTCTTGAGTTGCGGATCGTGAGGCTTGTTCAGAGTAAGGTTGGGGGAATTGCGGACATGTTCGCAGAAATGTTCATAAGGAAGAATGACCCGCGAGTACGAATTCTTCATCTGAGTCGCTAGGCCAGGAACACCTCCATACCCAAGGAGACGACCAAGATCTGCCCACTTCTTTGCTCTTGTTACCTACCGACGTGTTCGTGTCACGGGAAAAAACATAGCATATAACCGAAGAAAAAACGCACTGCTTCATAACCTCCCAACTTCATGACCTCTTTCCTAAGCTGCCAAAGATCCAACGGTTTGTGATTGATAGTTGGTACAGATACACGTGGATTTCCCTGCTGTTTGTGGTATCGATACAACTGTTCCAGGAAATTGACTTTGGCGCGAGAGGATGCCTCAATGGAGTTCAAACGTTGAACTCGGGTCTTGAATCTGAAAGTCTGTTTCAGGTGATATGGAATGAGAAATATCGAGTTGATTTGTGGCGAATTCAAAGAAAGAAGAGAAACTCACCTCGGTATCCGTGACAAATGGCATATCCCAACCCAACGGTGGAATAATTTTACACATTCCATAACTTCTCGCACCTTCAGCTATTGACTTGATATAACCCATTGGATCTTTCCATTGTTCGGGGGTTGGACGGAAAGTGGGACAATCTGTGATACCAAAAGGCCTTTCGCGAGGCTTTGAGGGGGAGTTCTTTGGATTGGGAGTTTTGACAGTGGACATGTCAAGAGCAGATGGTACTTTGATAGGTGGTCCATCTCTGAATTTGATTCTGATCCCACCATCAACTGGGGCGGGTTCAGGAAGATCATCTTGGTCAAGGGTTGCGGACTGGTTATGCAAAGCAGTGAGAGCTTCAGTCTTCGACTTCCGTGGTGCTCGCTTTGAATCAATATTGGAAGATGAAGGATTCTTAGCGAGAGTTTGTGCGTTGAGGGTTTCGATTGGGATAGCGCCCTCAACAGGGATGTCAAGACACGAAACGAAAGTGGCCGGTTGCCTGCTGGGAAAAACCTGGGCCATGTCAGAGTCGAGTGAGGTTTGCTGTGGTAAAGATGTATCGTTTGATCCTCGCCTTGCTGGAGTGCGACGAGGCGGAGACTCGTGCATGCTCAGAGGGAGAAGATAGTGGTTAGAGAAAGAGAGAGGGCGACACTTGGACCCATTCGATGAGTTTCGTTTGTGGCCGAGCGGTCCTTCAAATCACCTTCCCCTGCGCTTCCTCGTGTGATCTTAATCATATTCGCGGAAGTTGAAATTTCCCTTGCCGATCTCGCCGCTGCCATCGCGGTGTTGGCCCGTCAGGTATTCCCTATTCTCGTGCTCTTCTCCTCCCACATGCCAATGTCTCCCAAAAGCACCTCCCGCAAAATCGCACATAAAAAATCGGAACTGTTTCTCAAAAGTAACAATACTGCTCTACGATGCTCTTGGTGGTTTCTCTTCCCAGGATCGCTCACGGATCTGCCTCTAATCGGTTCAGATCTTGCGATTTCCGATCACATGTGAGTTATTGTTGACCCAGCGCGAGAACAGCCTTTTCTTTCTTTGTCTTTCATTCTTTCTCCTGCTTTACTTCCATTCTGTCTTCCCTTTGTTTGACCCTTGCCCCACATGCTACTAACAGCACGCATTGACCGCTGTCTCCTCATCTGTTCACACAGATTCACACTCGATTCAGATACTGTCAAAGGCTCCAACCAGAACGGTTTCCCCCGAATTACTTCCTTGCCTGGGCTCTCAAAACATGCGGCAAGTTGCGTGGCTTATTTGACTCGTTTCGTTGCAACGTTGCGTGCATCCTGTCACATCAATTGACAGTGACAAACAAGTATCGACAGAGGAGTTTTGATCCTCCATCAATTTGATCGCAAGTTCAACTTGTTCGCCTAAGTTGTTTGTTCCATTTGTACATACCGCCACGCTACCTGCGATCTATGTTGGGCCACATATCCTTGACCGATTTATTCCGGTCAGTTTTTGTTCTCTGAACTAAATATCTCCGTTATTTCCAGAATCAATTGCACTGATTCATCTTCGACGTAGGACAGCCGAAAACCGGATCCTATGGGTCTAACTACACTGAAAGTGCCTGCAATTAACCTGGACAAAACATCTGACTTTGGGATGCACAAAACAATACTCATTTTTTTTTACTTTGTATGTAGCCGCGGCGTTACAGCTAACGGGAATGAATCTTGCCCAGATGGTCAAAGCATCCATCTATCAACTCGATGAGTTGCGGTTGTTGTATGGTCATTGCATCACTGTTGTTCCGCTTAGATGAGATTATCTAATTTCCTTTTCTTTAGTAACCTCTCGACAACAATTATTATTCTATTCATCAACATGAACCCCGCACTACCATCTGCTCCCAACTTGTTTTGTTGATATGACACCCAGGCTTCAGCTGTTTGCAGGCACGTTTCTATCAAGAGCCAACCTGTTACCGAGACAGGAATGGATACATCTGTTGTGCGAAGGACTGGGAGATATTGGCATGTCAAGCTATCTACAATGATACAATATCCTGAAACCTTCGGCTGCTCTCATTATCTCGTGGCCTGACGGATCAACATCATTCGACCGACGCAACCGTTCTTTTGAGTAGATACCTGGAAAAAAATGCGACACTCCACCAAACCGACCACGTCAATGAAGATCCTTCCATTCTCTCCGCACTGGTGCCTTCAAGTTCCATTTTCCCAAACGCTAGCAGAAGCTGCGTCACTCGTTGACTATTCAGCGCGAGTTCTTGCTGTTCATGCAAGACACCGATACTTTCGGCAAGCTGCTGATGTATCTAATGATAGTTACCACACACGGAGGATCAGGACGATAACTTTCATACGTCCTTCCGAGAAATTGTGCGTCATCATCGTACAGCAAGCCATCAGATTATGTTACAATCTATAAGTAGCTCCTTTTATAGCCATATTTTTGTCATTCTGGAGCAAACTATCATTATAGGTGAAGGTCCCGTTTACCATGATGTCCGGAGCTTTTAGTGATTATGAAGGGAGCGTATCTCCAATCATTACCAAAGGATTGCTTGGGCTAATGTCGCTTCTCTTATCCTCGTCGGGTTTTGGCCACCGTTCACTGACAGGCATGATTCACGTTACAGAGCTTCACTGGTAGACGGAGCTACCCTAAGATTCGTTGTTCCTCAGCTAAACTATGCCCACCTTAATTGTCAGTGGGTGTAAATTGCCATACCTACTACGTACCTACTATTCGCAAAGTCTTGTCGACCAACTCCCGCTTAGCTCAGTGGTAGAGCGCTTCACTAGTAACTCAGCTTCGAGTCTATGAAGAGGTCAGTTGTTCAAGTCAGCTAGTGGGAAGATTTTAACAATGTCTATTTTTGCCACTCCCACCGAAGGTCCAAGAAATTTGATGATAAAATATGAATGCTGACTTTCCCCCACGATGATGATGAAAATCGAGAAAATGATAATATATATTACGTAACTCGTTTGTATGAATAAGGTAATGTCCTCCAATTTCATACTGAACGTCCGTACCTCCATGTGGCGTCAGGCAATAAAAACTATGATCTCACCCTCAATATGATGAGAGTGGGATTCGAACCCACGCCCTTTCGGACCAGATGACAAGCTTTACAAGCCTTAGTCTGGCGCCTTAGACCGCTCGGCCATCTCACCATATGACACAGTGTGTGTTGGAGTTCTTACGAGATTTGAGAAATAAGACTGTGCCACTTGCGAGACATTATTTAATTTACGAAAACTACTGCATTCAACTAACACAGTTCTATCCTCCATATCCTGATACTAAAGGTAATTATCCAAGTACTCAATATAATAGTATGACACCTAACACTTTTCAAAAACGGTATAGATAAATCTTGTTGTGCAGGCTAAACAAGCCCTCGTTGTCTAATGGCTATGACGTCAGACTTCTATCAAGAGGGCTTATCTGGAGGTTGTGGGTTCGAGTCCCACCGGGGGTAGTCGGTTACTTTTTGTATCAAAAAAAACATTTATGTTTTTAAAAACAATCCTGTTACGATTCCTGAAGGTACGAAGGATCTGTAACGGAAAATCGTATCTAATGTTCAATACAATTTTGCCTAGTATGTTTCCTTATCATGTTGGAGCTCCGACTCTATATGTGGATTCATCGTTTGTTACTCACATAGAATGTGTTGTTATCTTTCCATCAAATAACGACGGAATTTTCCCGCGCAAGTCGGACAAGATGTAGGCGCCTCAAGAGCAAATGCGATAATGTTAATGAGTCTTAAACATCGAATCTCTTTAAGTTCAACATTCAACACTCAGTATCCAGTGAGTGTTCGAATCAATGATGATATTGCAGTTGAATACTTCCCGAAAGTACAGTATCTCCTTGCAAGTACATCCAGCACGTACATAAACGTTTGCACTACTTAACATGTCGCATAATTACCATCTTACGACCGGGTAATTACCTGATGTGTTCTCTCGGTAAGTATTCCGTGATCGGGAAGGAAAACTCGTAATTTTAAATGCTTTAATGTATGTACATAAAGTTGTTGTTGTAGCCGCGAAGGCTTGAAGGTTTGGGAATGTTGCAACGTTCAAGCATCGACAGACCTGTTGACAAGAGAACGGATGAATTAGAAACGGACGACATTGACACCGACAATCATAGCCAGAAGCTAAGTTGCTATGCAGTAGGTGTTTACAGATGGGTAGAACGATTCAAAGAACCTGTGATGGTTGCTTAAGTTCGATTCCCGGTACCCAACCGCGGTCTTCTTACCCTTGACAAGTATGCGCGGTACGCAGCATACCACTGCACCACGATCGGTTGACCCAAAATACAGACTTTCAGGTAGGCCAATGATACGACAGAAGCGATTAGGCCACAGCCTTCCGGAGAGGAAAAACAAGCTTTGGCGTAGATGTACTGCGGTCCCTGTATATGTGCGCTCTGTGGACAATTATGGACATGAATTGATCGGTGTTAACGTTCTATGTGCGGCGGAGGAAAAGCGATACGACCACCAGCGAGACCGACCTAAACACTGAAAATGTTTCTTTCTGAAAAAAAAAAGAGAACATGGGGATGCCGGAGAGAAGCTGAGCGAGAAATGAGTAAGCAAGCAATTTTGTAGCATGTTGTATGTCAATCCTGACAAGGATTGGGAGCCTTGTCCATCGTATTGTCAGATACAACGGATGTTGGTATTTGCGCAAGATCCGAGGAGATTTGTTGAGGGTAGATAAACTCATGCACGAGATCACTTGGCTAGAAAGAAAGGATTCGCCAGCTACAAGGGCTCTGGGTTTGATCGTAATGATTACTCACTGACTATGCTTCGCACCTTCGAAGAAACTTCGAGCTTCAGCTCATGAACAGATAGATCCTGATCAATCTGTATAAGAGGAAGTATAGATGATGGATGGGAAAGATACCAGTGCGTTTGTGTAGCATATGCATCATCCGTATCTTTCCAAAAATGATTTGCTTCCTTCTTGTTGTTCTTGATAATCAAGTCAAACCAAAGACCAGAGTGCGCGCGCCTCAGACTTGAAGTGTGGTATCACAGTATCTGCTAGGGTTATGGGCAGGGTGAGTGATTCGTAGCTGATTTGGTCAGAAATGAAATCTTCCAACACGGCAAGACGGTGAAACGCTGTGTTTTAATAGACAGTTGGAGTTGGCCGACTGAAGGATTAGGCTGTGGCTCTTTGACATCGGCGATGACATCTTTCTGTTGAAATAGCAGGTGGAGATTGAAGAAAGGAGCGCAAAGAAATGCTTTGTTATTCAAACTTGAGAAAGATAACAAAGTGAACAACAATTTGGCGTTGAATAGAAAGGAGGCAATATTCTCGCCAAGTCATGGTTACGAGCTGGTTGCCGTCGACCGTGCCGGGACCAAACGAGCCATTCGGCTACTTAGGCGTCTAAACCTAATTTGGACACGACGAACCGTAAACGCTGGCGTGAGAACACATGTCACGTGCGTACCCTCTGCCCATCCACCCGATAACCCTCTGCCCAGGCGAGAATTTAATTTCCTGAAATATTCTCGTCATCTCTCCTTTTCTTCAACAACCACCTCCCCACCAACAGCCACCTCCTCCCTAAAGTCTCGTGTGAGTTGAACACTGCTCGTCCTCGTCGTCCATCAAAGCGTGCTCATCGTTTCTTTACTTATCTTCACAGTTATCACACCCTTTCCCCGCCACTTACATCACCCCTTATACATACAGTATGTTCACGCGTCTTTCGGCCTCACGTATCTGGTTCCTTCTTAATTCTTACATCTGGTTGTCGTTTCTTTTCTAGATGGCCCAATCTCGCGAAGATTCCGTCTACCTTGCCAAGCTCGCTGAGCAGGCTGAGCGATATGAAGGTTCGTTTGTTTATGACTCTTCAAACCATAGCAAGAGCGTGTTTTGACGTGGCATATCGCGGATAGAGATGGTCGAGAACATGAAGCGCGTCGCTTCATCCGACCAAGAGCTTACCGTCGAGGAGCGTAACCTCCTCTCGGTCGCGTACAAGAACGTTATCGGTGCCCGCCGTGCGTCATGGAGAATTGTTTCGTCGATTGAGCAGAAGGAGGAGTCGAAGGGTAACGAAGTGCAGGTACAAATGATCAAGGGTTATCGGGAAAAGATCGAGAGCGAGCTTGCCAAGATTTGCGAGGATATTCTTGATGTTCTCGACAAGCACTTGATCCCTTCTGCGGCCTCTGGCGAGTCCAAGGTCTTCTACCACAAGATGTACGTGTCCCCTATCTTCATATTTTGCGATGCATAATTCTAATTATCCCTTCGCACTATAGGATGGGTGATTACCACCGTTACCTTGCTGAGTTTGCTACCGGCGATAAGCGAAAAGAGTCGGCCGACAAGTCCCTCGAGGCTTACAAGGCTGCTTCTGATGTTGCTGTCACTGAACTTCCCCCAACACACCCCATCCGTCTCGGTCTTGCCCTTAACTTCTCCGTCTTCTACTACGAAATCCTCAACAGCCCAGACCGTGCATGTCATCTTGCTAAGCAAGCCTTCGATGATGCCATTGCTGAGCTTGACACGTTATCGGAAGAGAGCTACAAGGATTCTACCCTCATCATGCAATTGCTTCGTGACAACCTCACCCTCTGGACTTCAGATATGCAAGAATCAGGTGCGTTATAGCTAATTCTCCTGTTGAGTCGCTTGATATTCATTGTGAATCTCACTTTCTAGACAAGCCTGCTGACAAGGAGGAGGGAGCTGAGGCCCCCGCAGAGGAGGCAGCATAAGCTCTTCCCCTTTTCTCCTATCTTTCCGCCTTTGTCGTTTCTATGATACGGTTTCGTATGGAACCAATTATCTCACTTTAATGACTCTGGCATCCCTACTACTACTTGTCGTTCTTGTGTTCTTCTCTGCTCTTTCGTCCACGTTCATTTGTCTGTCTTATTTTTTCTCTCCGCATATTGCATCTCTCTCTCGTATCATATCCGCATTCAATAACGTGTCCCAATTCAAGATCAAGTCGCATATATTTTTCTTTGATTGTCATTGCAGCCTTTCGTGTTGTTGGAATATGAAGGGTCGTTGTGGTCAAAGTAAGCTCTTTGTGATTTCACAGGATATTACAAAGAATACAGAATGAAATGAATAATTGATCTGAATCTCCTTTATATCGCCGTGAAGTTGCTTGAGTGTTTGTAATATCAAGGTGCGTGCATTCAACTATGTTGCTGTTCAGGATTACTGAAGACTTAAAAACATTCACAGAATCTTGCGACAAACCTGTATCTCTAATATCGACGTCGACTGTCGTGCCCATACAAAGTAGTGTGTCTTGCACAATTTTGGCTTCCTTCATCCAATATCGTGCTACCAAGAACCACTACAACGCAAGCATGAATCAATATCTTACAACTGAATCAAAACCTCAAGGGACAAGTTTCTTCCACAAGCATATGTCCCATTCTGCAGTGGACATCTGCCTCTAATTTCCATTCGTTCGGCGAGGGTGAACACAGCATTAGGAAGTGGGTTATTCAAGTTCAATTTATTGCTATTTTCGAGGATCCTTGTTTGAATTGTTTCTGTAGTGTTCAAGCTGAAACATTGCTTCAAATTTCGACAATATCCCGCACTTCGTATGTTCATTGACGCTGCTCCGAATCATACATTGGCGTATGCATTACGCTTGATAGGCACATACTAATTTTTCCCCTCTACTGTGGATATGCCTGCCGCAAGCTCGCGCATATGCCGAAGCTTGTCTATACAGTGTTCATTCACAAAACGAACCAATTCATGCACTGTCGGAATGCTGACGAGGGTCGAACTACTCAAGATGCTGATCGAGGTGGACATATGCCATCTCAATAACTGAATGATGCCCTCCTTACTAATATTCCGCAGGTTAACTGGTTACGCATACATATTCCGAATCCCTAAGTAATCAGTCCGACTGACGTATGCAACCTTTATTCATTCCCCAGCTGGTCGGTGAAGGTGAGAGAAAAGAACAAAGTCACTCTCACATTTTTTGCTTCTGCTTTTCTAGAGATGGGTCCTTTAGTACTCCAACTCTCGAACGCTTAAGGCTCACCATATCCCGAACTTCTTCGGTTTTCTATTTGACTTCCCGAAAGCTGACTACGCTCAACTATCCGTCAGCCATATCAACTCCAGAGAGTTCCACACCGGTGGCCGATTGATGGGATTTTCTATGGTATATATATATTTGGGTTTCTGCTGAAGAAAGCATTCTCAAGCTACAAGCAAACCAAGTCCTCTACCATCACACCCAACTGCAAGCTTTTCATTCTACTAGTTCGTCAGCTGCTCCATCGCATATGCATCGACTATTTGACTAATTCTCGATGCAGTTTTAACGGTTCAATTCAATCACCATGTCGAAGGTATTACTTGGAAACATTCCTGAAACCTCTTCTCCACAACTTCAAGTTGCATTGTCATGGTTGGAATCGTTTGTTCGAAAGGA